AGCTGACTCTCCCAAAGTCTGCGTGGGCAGAGAACAGCCTCAAAGATAAGCTCCCAGAGGTTCTACTTCACCTTTGGGCAAGCTCTGCATTGCTCTTTGGTCTTCATGTGATCATAAGAGAAGCATTAGGTTTCACTTTTTGGAAACTTGAAAACTGAATTCAGGGGCTGGGGATGTGGCTCAAGCGGTGGCACGCTTGCCTGGCATGCATGAGGCCCGGGTTCAATCCTCAGCACTGCATACAACAAGGATGTTGTGTCCACCGAGAACTAAAAAATAAATAAAAATTCTCTCTCCTTCAAAAAAAAAAAAGAAAACTGAATTCATAGATCATCTCACATATTTTTTTCCTGTCCTCAAAAATAAGTTAATTGGTAGTGGAATTCTAGAAAAAAAAAACAGATGATATCTTTCAGTTTCCCATATTTAACATGTATCCTAATACATATAACCATACTCTTTTTTGGGAGGGTGGGGGGATTGTTTTTTGAGCCAGGGTCTAAGTTGCTGAGGTCTTGCTAAATTGCTGAGGCTTGCCTCAAATTTGTGATCCTCCTGACTCAGTCTCCTGAGTTGCTTGGATTACAGGTGTGTGCCACTGTGCCCCGCCAGCCACATTTTGTGTGTGTATGTGTGTGTGTGTTGAAGGGTACTGGGAATTGAATCCAGGGGTGTTCTACCACTGAGCTACACATCCTCAGCCCTTTTAATTTTTTAACATGGGATCTTGCTAAATTACCCAGGCTGGACTTGAACTTGCATTCCCCCTGTCTCAGTCTCCCAAAACTGCTAAGATTACATGTGTGTGCCACTATACCCATAACAACCACACTTTTTGCTTGATCCAGAAAAATAAGGACAGCCAGGTGTAGTGGCATACACCTGTAACCCCAGCCATTCCAGAGGCTGAGGCAGGAGGATCCTAAGTTTGAAGCCAGCCTCAGCAACTTATCGAGGTCCTAAACAACTTAGCGAGACCCTGTCTCAAAAAAAAAAAAAATATGTAGCCAGGCATAGTGGCACACACCAGCAATCCCAACAGCACAGAAGGCTGAGACAGGAGGCTAGTAAGTTCAAAAAAGCCAGACTTGGCAACTTAGTAAGTCCCTAGGCAACTCAGTGAGATCCTGTTTCTAAATAAAATATAAAATTTTTTAAAAAATGAAAATGGTCCTGTGCACTGTACTAACACATGTATTTTTAGATAATTTAATGGAGACAACATCAAAGATCCTGAGCACTGACTGATCACCATGAACTGTCTTATAATGACCAGCCTGATGGCATTTCCACATATCTTCCCATATCTACCCCTCACAAAGTTTCCTTTCAAAGCTTTTGAAGGGGCTGAGGATACGGCTCAGTTTGCCTCACATGCACAAGGCCCGGGTTCAATCCCCAGCACCAAAAAAAAAAAAAAAAAAAGCATCTGAGACCCCCAAAAGTGCATTCTACTCTTGAGAGAGGCTGCATTCTCCCTTGAATGTAAATTTGCTTCCAAAATAAATAAATAAATCTGTACTTGGGCTAAATAGAAATAATCACTGCTAGAGAAAGTCTTAAATAAATCTCTACTTGTGCCTCTGACACATCTTGAAATTCTTTTCTGCAACATCTGTCAAGTACCCTCTCTGGTGACAAAACTAATTTTTATTTTCAACCACATTTTAGTTAATATGTGTTCCTTAGCAAAGTGAAGATGTTGGACAAAACAATACCTCTCACATTTCAATAAGGGTATATGTAAATCCAATCTTTAATAAAGCTAGATGTATTCAAAGACCGATCTTTACTTGCATTATATGCTTTCTATGTTTTATTAAAATATTGTTCTTGGGTGTGATGGTGCACACCTATAACCCCAGTGACTTAGGAGGCTGAGGCAGGAGGATTTCAACTTTGACCAGCCTCAGCAACCCTGCAAGGCCCTCAGCAACTTAAGCGAGAGACCCTGTCTCAAAATAAAAAATAAGAAGGACTGAGGATGTAGTTCAATGGGAAATTATCCGTGGTTCAATCCCCAGTACGATTAAAAAACAAAAAATGTTGGCTAAATGAATGATCAAGAATAAAACAGTTAGAAACAAACAATTCTGATAAATAGAAATAACCACTGCTTGGGGGTGGGGGGTGTTGCTTAGTGGTAGAGCCAAGGACCTGTGTTTAATCCCTAGCACTGTAAAAACAATTTAAAAATAAAAATTTACCAAGCTTTAAAATTATAGTAATGAATTTTATTTAGGAAGGAACTAGCTGGAGAATCAATCTTAAAAAAATTTCTATCTGGGATATTTCTTAATAATATCATTTACCACGAGACCATTTGTGCCACTCTCTTGTTCAAACCCTTTCACCGTTGACTACTTCCAGAAAATCCACCTTTTTTAAAAAAAAAAAAATTTTTTTTTTTTTTAAATTAATACCTATCCATCAGCTCCCATCTCTTGGATCTATTAGAGTAAAAGACAACATTTGCTCCAAATTCAATTATACAACATACCCTGCTATGTCTTTAACCCCAGACCCTTCCAAGTCCAAGAATAATACTCATTCTTGAATCTTCAGAAAGATACTGTCTCCTTCCAGAAATCTTCCCAGGCAGAAGTGAGAATTCCATCTCCTTTCTTAACTACTTTAATTGGTTATAACTTGCAGCAGTTAAGACAAGGCCACCCCACTTTGCAGTTGACTGTCTACATTTGGTGTTCCCCACCATACGGTAAATTCCCTGAAGGGATCTTTGTCTTATAAATCCATCTTTTTTCTTTGTCTTCATCAATCTAAGAAATGAATACATGAACAAATACATGAACAGAAAACCTCAATTCTCCCTACACCTGATTGGAAATCACTGCCCATAGTAGTTTATTACTGTAACTGTGTATAGCCCACATAAGTGTAATGCTTGAAGGAATCTAAACCCATATCTACCTATTGGTTCTATCTTCTCAAATATTCACTATCACCTACACCCTTCCTTGTAATTCAAAACCAAAAGTTAGTCTGAGAAAAGGTCTAGTCAGGCCTGGTGGCACACACCTGTAATGCCTGTAGCTCAGGAGGCTGAAGCAGGAGGATCACGAGTTCAAAGTCAGCCTCAGCAAAAGTGAGGATCTGAACAACTCAGTGAGACACTGTCTCTAAATAAAATACAAAATAGAGCTGGGGATGTGACTCAGCGGTTAAATGCCCCTGAGTTCAATCCCCATTACCAAAAAAAAAAGAAGAAGAAAAAAAAAAGCCCTAATGTAACATCATTAAAAATTACTAACTAGATGACTTCCCAAAGATGTCAACGGTCAGATGGAAATATAAGCTGCTATAGGAGGATGAGTTGAGCAAGGTCAGGCACTCAACAAGGCAGAAAATAAAAGGCTGATGGTCCTTTGCTTTCCTCCAAAGTGGTTATCTCTCAGTGTATTCACATTCCTAAAGAATCTAAAAATGGGTCAGCCCCTTCTTGATTAATACCAGAAGAACCAGCAATGACAGCACATGCCACAATGATACGGATATAAACAAGGAAGAAGGAAAACAGAAAAATGTAAGGCAGTGCATAAGGTGAGAGAGATCAGGTGAGAGGGATCAAGTACTATTACTAGTTGAAATGAAAACTGGGGAACTTCAAGTGACATCCCTCAATCGGCCTTCTCCACAGACAGAGTTCTGGTCTTTCTGCACTAAAGTGTCAAAGTGCATGGCAATAATTAACAGAGATTTTTCCTTTCTCCTAATCCCCTTTTCCCCTTTGAACTTGAGCACTTAACAATACAGTCAGCCTTTCATAGCTACTCACCACTAGTTCCATTCATTTCACAAATGGTTATTCAGCAAGGTACTTTGTTAAGATAATGAAAGGCATACAAACACAGGAACCCATCCCTGTCCCTAAGGAATTTCCAATTTAGTATAATTTAAACATCAGTCTTAAAAGGAATTTAGAGAACTATTCCCAAATCCCAGCTTAGTCTTGGATTCATCATTTTAAAAGTCAAAAGCAAGTACCTCACCCAAATATTTTGATTAAAAAAAGGTCATACTAATAGCAAGGGTACAAAACTCACGTTCAAAATTTACAAGTAGTTTTTAAATCTCAGAATTTACAACCACGGAGGCTGGGATTATGGCTCAGCGGTAGAGCACTCGCCTAGCACGTGCAAGGCCCTGGGTTCGATCCTCAGTCCCACATTAAAAAATTAAATAAAATAAAGGTATTGTGTAAAAAAAAATAATAAAAAGGAATATACAACCACTGGGGTGGGGGGTTTAAATCTACCCCAAATAAACAAGAACAAAAATCTGAGAGATCACCTATCAATGACTTCAAAGCCTTTTATCAAGGTAGTCTGTAGTTCTCAGCATTGGCTAAAACTCAAATGACCCGCAGAGCTTCTGAAACTCCCCAAACCGAGGCTACACTTCAGAACAATTAAGCTACAAGTCCTGGGATGGGAATCCACGCAGAACTCTGAACTCCTTAGGTGATTTGAATGTGCAACCAAGATTAAACGGCTGCTATAAATTATGCCCTTGAAATAGATGGGAAAGGATCAGGATCAACATTCCTCGAGGTTACCCGCCTCCACAGGCCACTTTCAATTTTTCCAGATGCAGTCTTGGGTTTCATGAATCCTTTCAGGTGCATAAGCATGGAACGCAATACTCTCCCACCTGAAGGAGGGAGGATGCAAATAAGTTATATTAGATTTAATAAGCTACGGGTTTCGTTAATATTGCACCTGTGCGGAAGCACGCGCTGACCCAGCATTAGGAACCGCAGAGAAGCTCCTTTACACTTATCTCCACCTGCTAGGGTCTGGCCTTAGAAACAGCGTGCGAAAGCGCGGCGCTGGGGGCCGCCCTCCGGGCCGGGACAAAGGGGTTCCCAGTAAGCAAGGTCACAGTTTACTCCTGTAGGTGCGAGGACTAACAGGAGTAGCGAATACAACGCTGCAAGCCCAAGGTGCTAGTAGCAGCGTCCAAAAGGCCGCGATACTCACGCAAGTGCCGCCCAGTTTGTGGCTCTCCACCACCGCGGCCCTGGCGCCGAGTTCGGCTGCCCGGCGTGCGCTGGCCAGCCCGCCGGAGCCGCCCCCGATCACCAGGTAGTCGTAGCAGGCCACCGCAGCGGGCGGCGGACACTGCAGCTGAGGCTCCTGCTTACACGCCATGGCTTGGGAGAGGGTGCGCAGGGCGCCGGCGGGTCCGGGCGGAGGCAGCGGGAAGCCGTGGAAGGCGCACGCCGCCCGCAGCCAGCTCGGCCCCGCGCTCGCGCTCAGCGTGCGGGGCAGTAGGGCCATCCACACGGAAGTGGCACAGGGAGGGAGAGCAACCCAGAGGCGGGCCCCGGGGGGAGGGGGCTTGGGCCGCCGGCAAGCGCAGCCTCATCGTGACTAAGCAGCCGGCCGCTGCGCGGGAGCGGGCGGAGGAGGGGCAGGCGCTGGGAGTTGGGGCTCGCCGCCGCGTCCGGGGCAGCCTCTCGGTCCCCCTGCAGTGACGGCGAGCGGCGCCTGCCCCTGCGAGGAGCCACGGGCTTTCTTTGTCCTGGCCCTTCACCCGAACGCCTGAGCTCCTGGCTCCCGGGCGGCACTGGCCGGAGGCAGGCATTTGAAGGCGCCTGGGGTGAGGCGGAGAAGCATCACGACGTCTCCTGTTTCACCCATCTTCTGGAGCTAGAGAAATTTGCCCTCTTATTGCAGAGGTTAAGTTTCTCAAAGTTTGTTCCGGAGACCACCTGGGTTGACGATTTCTGGGCCCTGACCAAGGGTTGGGAATTTACATTTTAAACCAGGGTCTCCTCCTTCCGGTGTGATTCTATTCTTTTTTGGTACTGGGGATTGAATCCAGGGAGTTTTGACTACATCTCCAACCCCTAAAATAAAAAAAAAAAAAAATCTTTTTTGATACAGGGTCTCGCTGAATTACTGAAGGTATCCTCTGATTTGCCATCCACCTATCTCAGCCTCCTGAGTCGCTGGGATTGCAGGCTTGTATCACTGTACCCAGCTCAGTGATAATTCAAAGCCAGCTTAATCTTCAAGTGATTCTTAAGCACATTTAATTTAAGAAACTTGAAATAATGGATTGAATCACAGTAACAATGTTCTTCCACGGAAGAATAAAGATGGAATCAAGATGGAAGACACAATATCTCCCAAGCTATAGAGACTGGGGTATTCTTTTGGAATATCTGGAAGTACTAACTGCCCCAAAGAGTTGTAACCAGGGTTGAATTTGTGTCATAATAAGCCAAGATCCAGACCAGTCGCCCATAAGGACACTATACAGGTCAAGGCTGACAGCTCTGGCGGCAAAAAAATGAAGGCCAAGATAATAGGGGAATTGGGAATAAACTGCACCCCATTACAATGATTCCAAATTTTTAAAGCATTTTTCCCCCTAATTAAAAAGTAATATAGAGCGCACTCCTGTAATCCCAGTAAATCCAAGGTCAGCCTTGGCAACTTTGCAGGACACTGTCTCAATAGAAAGGGCTGGGGAGATAGTTCAGTGGTAAAGCACCCCTATTTTCAATCTCCAGTAGCAAATAAATAATGACATAACTCAATGGCAAATTTCCTGGATTCAAGCCCCAGTACCAAAACCAACAACAACAACAACAAAACCTGGAGAAAAGGGAAAACTTTATCACATTAAAAAAAAAAAAAAATGTAGAATGGCCTTGAGGGTGGCACACACCTGTAATCCCAGAGGCTCCTGTAATCCCAGAGGCTCAGGAGGCTAAAACAGGAGGATTGTGAGTTCAAAGCCAGCATTAGCAAAAAGTAAGGCACTAAGCAACTCAGCAAGGCCCTGTCTCTAAATAAAAAATACAAAAAGGTCTAGGGATGTGGCTCAGTGAATAAGTGTCCCTGAATTCAATCCCTGGTACAAAAAAAAAAAAAAATGAAGAAGGAAGTTGGGGCATGCCTGTTAGGAAAGTTGAGGCAGGAGGATAGAAAGTTAAGTCACCCTTGGCAGCTTGGAGGGACCCTGTCTCAAAAAGGACTTGAGGATGTGGCTCTGTGGTACCATGAGGTGAAAGTTTGGTAGGGAAAATATTATATAATTTCAGAATATACCCCTACAAATTGATTGTTGGTCACAAAGAGAAAAAAGGCAACTTTACAGTAAGGATGGGGCTGGGGATACAGCTCAGTGGTAGAGTGCTTGCCTAGTATGTGTGAGGCCCTTGTTTCAATTCACAGTAACACCAAAAACAAAACAGGCAGGCACCACACCACAATTGTCCATATGGTTAAAATTCAATTTTGCTAAAAATGAGTTATCATTGTATGCCTCATAATGTGCTTCAATAAAAGTATACATTTGGGACTGGGGATATAGCTCAGTTGTAGAGTGCTTGCCTCCCATGCACAAGGCCCTGGGTTCACACGCCAGCACCACACACACACACACACACAAAAAAAATTATGTAGTAATTTTGAAGTGGCACAGGCCAGTGACTTTGGGAAGTTGTGACAGGAGGATCACAAGTTCAAAGCCAGTCTGGGCAATTCAGTGACAAAAAATAAAAAATTTAAGAAGGGCTCAGTGGTATAGCAGTTATCTAGCATGTTTGAAGCCCTGGGTTCAATCCATAGTACCACACAAAAAAATAAATTTTAAAATAAAATAAAAAGGGGTGGGGATGGAGCTAGCTGATTGAAAGCAGTTGCCTATTTTATGAGATCCTGAGTGCAGCCTCCATTACTGGGGAGTAAAATTTAAAAGTCCACAACTTGAATCTAATCATGAGGCAACATTTGAAAAACCCAATTTGAGAGGAATTTTACAATTAGCCATTATTCTTCAGCACTCTTTAAAAATGATTAATGTTCTGAAAACAAAGCAAGATTAAGGAATAATTCCAGATTTTAAAAATCGAAGAAATAGAAATAAAGGCAAGGATTGATCTTGGATGGGATTCTCCATTGGGAGAGATTTGCTATAAAGGGCAATTGGTGAAATATGAATATGGTATATAATAACATAAAAGGGTGCTGTATCAATGTTGAAACCTCCTGAGTTCACAGGGGTGCAGTGACACACGCCTGTAATCCCCAGGATTAGGGAGGCTAAGGCAGGAGGATCATGAGTTCAAAGCCAGCCTCAGCAACTTAGTAAGACCTTGTCTCTTTTTTTTTTTAATATTTATTCTTAAGTTTTAGGTGGATACAACATCTCCATTTTACATTTATGTGGTGCTGAGGATCGAACCCAGTGCCTTGTGCATGCTAGGCGAGTGCTCCACCACTGAGCCACAATCCCAGTCCAAGACCTTGTCTCTTAAAAAAAATATTAAAAAGGGCTGGGGATGTGACTCAGGTTTAAATGTCCCTGGGTTCACTAGCTGGTACTAAAAGAAAAAACAAACAAACAAACAAACAAAACTGAGTTTGATAACTGTACTGTAGTTACATGAGAGAATATTATTGTTCATAAGAGATATACTGAAGTATTTAGGAATAGATTCTGAGTCAGAGAAATTTAGATTCACATCCCATCACAGGTACTCTTAGCCCCTTAACCTAAGAGTCAGTTTCTTCATGAAATCGGGAGGCTGTTTTGTTCTGTTTTGCTGAACTGGGGATTGAACCCAGGGGCATTGTGACACTGAGGTTCATCTCCAAACCTTTTATTTATTTTAATTTTTGGTACTGGGCATTGAACCTAGGGTCACTTTACCTCTGAGCTGGATCCCCAGCCCTTGTAAATTTTTAATTTTGAGATGGGGTCTGACCAAGTTGCTTAAAGTCTCACTAATTTGCTGAGGCTGGCCTAGAACTTGTGATCCTCCAGCCTCAGCCTCCTAAATTGCTGTGATTACAGACATGTACCACCAAGCCCAGATGTGAGCCTATTTTTATTGTACCCAGAAATCACTTCAGAAAATTTTAAGAATCAGCTTGAGTTAATTGGCCTGGTAATCTTCACATCACTAGTATTCACATATAAAAAACTGAGGCTGACAAAAAGGAGATAAGCAAGTCAAAGAGAATGATAATTTAAAGGATGAGGAAATGAACCAGCAAGAATTGGAAATAGTAAGCAGTGTAGTGTAGATTGAGTGGACAGTAGGTAGCTGAAAGGGGGTAATAAGAGATAGAGTACTGGAAAGCCTTGGTTGTAACCAGAATGTGGTGTTTATATTTTAATCCACAGATAATAAGGAACACTGGAGATTTCTCAAAGATGTTTTTCCTTGGGAATCTGAAGTGAACTGCAGAAGGTGAAACTGGAAGTATAGGAGGCAAAGGTAATTTGTGGCAGTATGGAGAACAGATAAGAAAGAATAGATCCTAGAGTTAAGGAGTGAAATTGGGTCAGACATAGTGATGCACACTTGTAATCTCAGCTATTTAGCTACTTAGGATATATATATCCATTCATTCAAAAATATCTACTGTAAAACTTTTTTTTTATACTGGGGATTGAACTCAGGGGTGCTTAGCCACTGAGCCCCAACCCCAACCCATTTTAAAATTTTTTATTTTGAGACAGGGCTTTCATAATTGCTGAAGCTGGCTTTCAACTTACAATCCTCCTGCCTCAGCCTCCTGAGTCACTGAGGTTACAGGTGTGCACCACTGTGCCAGTCTACTTAACTATTTTTGCAAATGACTCTATAAGGTACTAAAAATACAGTAGTAACTGAACAAACATATCCCTGCCTTCATGAGCCTAACAGTGTAGTAGAGAAGAACAATATTTAAGTAAAAACTGCATAATTGTTATGTAAGATTGCTGAGCTGTGGTTATAGCTCAGAGGTAGAGTGTTTGCCTAGCATGTCAAGGCAATAGGTTCGATCCTCAGTATCACATAAAAATAAATAAAATAAAGGTATTGTGCCCATCTTTAAATTAAAGACTGTGGTAAGTCCTCTAAAGAAGTATAGGGGACTATGAAAGAGCAAACCCAAATATAGTCAGGCTTTTAAATGTCTCCTGTATAGTCTCCTTTATAGAGACTTCTGTTTTCCCTTTTCCAATAAATCTCAGATCTTTTCTGAGGATCAGGAGAAGCAGTCTTACAGATATAGTTAAGGGGTTTCTGGGATACTACATTTTAAATGGACTTTCTCTAACTATTTGTCTTTGGTTTAGCTCCCTCTTTACCTGCACTCATTTTCAGAGATGCTTCCAATTCCTTGGTATTCTGAAGATTTTGCATGTAATCATTTTAGTGTATAGCATTTACCTATGGCTAATTTGGGTTCTATTTTCATGAGTCTGATAAGTCTTTGCCATTTTTCCATGTTATCTATCCTCCAAGTTTTTTTTTTTTTTTTTTGCCTTTGTAGTTTTAGTTTCTGTTTTTTTAAAATATTTTTTTTTAGTTGTAGATGGACACAATACCTTTATTTTATTTTGTTTTATT